CAGGAATAGATAGTAAATGGTGCATTTTAATTGGTGAAAAGAATATATGCAAGGAATATAACTAAATTCTAAGCTTAAGTCATAAACGACAAAGAAGTTTGACAAATTACAAGAGGTTTTTATCTTTAAACATGATTATCTCAAAACTAAACAAAATGTAACCCTTGGCCTCTAGGGTCATTTAAATTTTTAATTTTTTTATTTTAAATTTTTTCCATTATAAATTAGAATGACAATTAACTCGTTTGTTTTTTATTTTTTTACAAAGTTGGTAACTCATAACATTTTAAAACTTGATGACTGGCTGTCATTGATAGCCAAAAAAATATATCATATTAATTTGCTAAATTAAAAATATCATGAGAGAAATTCCAAACGCCACAAAAACTGACCCACGCAGTTGGAATTAAAAATATCACATTCAATTAAAAATACCTGCTTATTTAATAAAATAAAAATTACATTGAATTAAAAATATGTCCTATTATATTTTTATTGCTTTTAAAAATTTCTCCTATGATATTTTTAATTTAGCGAAAAAAATATATGTGTTTAACAAAAAAATACAAATATCAGTTTGGAATAAAAATTAAATCTAATTTTTAATTAAGCGAATTAAAATATGTGTATGACAAAAAAATTATAAGAAAAAGATATTATAAATTTTCTAAATTAAAAATATCAGTTTGGCTTAAAAGAAATTTTGTTAAAGTTGGTGGAAATTTTATTCAAGTGTTTGTTCTTGTAAAATATTAATTCATTATATTATAATTATAATAATTATATTATTATACTAGACCTATTTCTAAAAGGCACTATTCTTTTACGGGTACCAATAACACCTTTTTAGGCATGAGGTAAATGTTTTGAAAAATAAATGCAATGGTGCTGAAGACTTCGAGAGGAAAAAAAGACATTTAAAATTAGTGACAAGATTATAAAAAATTTAATAAACAAACTCTAGAGGATTACCTACATATGGGGCATTCCATGCCAAATCACCGAGTTTTTTACGCGACCCTTTTTGATTTTGCTAAATTTTTGATATGTTTTAGTATCTACTAAAATGAATTAGTCAAAAATAACTAATTATAAGTCATATTTGACTAATTGTCATAGCGAAAAAGCAGTCACTAATAATTAGTCAAATTCCACTGAATGAAATAGTTAAATTAGTAAATTTAAATTTAAAAAAAGTTTTGACCCAGCCTGGGATTGAACTCAAGTCTGTCACTTGAGAAGCTTGTCAACCTAACCTCATAACCAGTCGGCTGTCAGCCGCTCTTATAAAAATAAATTTTATTTGTCAATAAATATTGTTCATAATATTTTAAAGTTTAATATTTAATTTGTGTTACTGTTTTGAGCTAAACTTTTTGCATCTTTATTTGTTTTATGGGTCATTTAACCATGGAGAGGTATATGCATTTAATTCAAATAATACTTTGTTGTTGGCCGTAAACGATTAAATAAATTAGTTACTTTTAACTGTCAGAAATAGTCAAATATGGTGACTAATCTTAAATTAGTCAAACTTTAACTATTTACGTAGTAAAAAATAACTATTTAAAAGTGAAAACAGCTATTTTATTAGTAAAAAATCCTGGTACTAATTCAAATAGTAGAATTTTGACTATTTCATTTTTAGAGAGTACGTATTAAAAGCAACTTGCACATCAATTTTTAGCCTTTTATTCCAAACCGTTATTGAAATATGGATTTTTTAAATTTTGAGGTGAAAAATTTTCAATTATTGATAGACTAGTGATAAATATCAATAATCGTAAAAAATGGGGTATCATTTTTTTTGCCTTTAAATGGACTTTCATAAAAAAAATAAACAAAAATTATTCGAAGTGATTATCATGTAGTTATTTGCGTTTAAAGCTCAAAATCGACATTTTCAAAAAGTCCGACCCCTTCGATTTTTTTGAAAAAATTTCCCAAAATTCTTCACCTTTTTAATGGTAGCCGAATTGTGTAATCGAAAAATTGCATCAAATGGCATAAAAACCTAACCTCAAAGTTTGTATGGGACAATAAGCTTAAAGCAACCCCTGTTTCTACGACACTGTGTTCACTCAAACAATTATAATTATGTGTGAATATGTGTTTTGGTAGTAAGTGACTGTTCGCAAAATATAAACTTTCCAAGACTACCATAGTGGAGTTTATATTAAAAAAACTGATATGATAAGTAACACTTTATCACCCTGTATCTTGGAAACATAAGTAATTAGGAAAAATATTTATTTGGGTTTTCGTCTTATTTTGACTTGCTCAATCTTTTCCTAAATTTATGCCAATAAGTTTATGGACACCTTGTATATTTACAAACAAAAATACTGTCTATTTTTATACTATCTTTAACAACTTATATAAAATATATCAACCGATTTACATTTTAGATGATTGGCCGAAAAACAAATCTAGTAAACCATGACTTATATAAGCTAAATTATTTTCTATGATTAAAAGCAAATTTCACAAATATCAAATAAATCTTTATGACATTTTAATTGTTTTATGTCTAATTTAAAATGTCAATGTATAGAAATCAACTTTTTAGGAAAAATATAAACGTTGAAAGATAATTACCCAATTTATTTTATAAAACAACAGTTTTTAAAGAAAATTACTAAGTTGCCATATCGCGCAATAACCTATAGCCACTGATAAGTTAAATCAGTTGATATAAATAAAGTGATCTTTTAAATACACATTGACAAGCTATGGCTTTATGGCACGGGCTGAAGTAAGCAACAGGTTTTTAGTCCTGGGCTGAATTTAGATTTAAGTTAGTTGACAGTTGTCAAATGTCATACAATCGTTAAAATAAAGTGGCCTTCTCGTGAAATAATATTAATTGTACAAATTATTGTAATATTATGTATTATCTTAATACAAAAGTATTAAATATTTATATAAGTTATATGTACGTTTGTACTGACCTTTTAATTGCGCCGGCAGCACGGTCCTATATAAGACTTTGGTCGGCAGGAAACTAATTTAACGGATAAACCATTAAAAATTTGCGTGGAGATCCCACCGTAGAGTGCCCATAAAACATTCTCTTTACTTTCACTGTAAAAAATCGTTTCTATATCGGATTTAAACGATTGTTAGTCCATTTTCAAAGGATAAATTTTGCTTTACACAGAAAAATTTGACATTTGCTGCCGGTAATACAGATTTCCATTTTTACGTTTTTTTTGTATAGATGTCGCTCTATACAAATATTTAATTTAAATAATATATTTTAAGATAATAATAAGTATAGTATGCAACTCGTTTAAAAACTATTCTAGACACTCATTTCATTAAGCACTCGTTCGCAAGCTCGCTAATGTCTAAATTAAATTCGTGACTAATATGGCGTCAAAATTATTTCGTACCTATAATATAATATAATTATAATTATTATTATTTTAATTTTTTTAAACATTAATAGCTATTTACATACCATGGGAGGAAAACAGTGCTTTTCCTCCCGCGAATAGTTTTATGCCCGACGCGAAGCGAAGGGCATTAAATATTCAAGGGAGAAAACCCATTTTCCTCCTGAGGTATGTATATAGTTTTTTCTATTACCTTTTAACGGTTTTAAGACATTTTAAGCGTTCCGGTTCCTTTTACTAACCCGGTATGGGGCTATAAAATTATGACAAAATATTAAGTAGGTGTTGCGTCGCCGACCTTATGTTAACAACGCTTTGTTGCTATAGTATTTTTGGTAATACAAACAACAGTTTTATAAGCTGTCAGAATGTTTATCAGAAATTTAAAATTCTTCGTACGTTTTGAAAATGAGATCTAGCGAAGAAGACCTGCCGCAAGATCTTGCTAAAGAGGCAAGAATAGTTGCAATTGGACGGCTTTCTGCAGAATGGGACCAACCCACACCATGATGAAACTGAGAAAAAAGCTATCAAAGATTTTAATAATTTTAAAATTACCTGTTAATTTTATGCCGATTTTGGACTTACGGAGGTTTAAGGGATATAATTTAATAATTTCATCAGGTGGATTATGTAATGTTATGTGTAAGGGTGACGAAAAAAATGGGCTTTTGTTGGTTGGTTCCTTTCTGCAATTTATGAAAACTACTATCTGATGTATGTATGTATTTAAAGAAAAGCGACAATTATTTATTTCCAAACAAAATACAACTGATATTACTATTATAATGGTAATATAAATTAATTTTGATTTTATTTGAAATTCGTCCACATCATCTTCCAACCCCACCTCATCTTGTAAGCTACCAAAAAAATGCATCAAGACTTTATATTTTGCAGAAGCAGGAAATCTTTAAAGACTTTGGTAGTGGGTCTACCAGCCTGCTTTTTTACAAAAAAGATCCAACCCACTTGCAAATATTCTACAGATTCTAATTCTGGATTAGTAATCCACACCATTATTGAATGTTGGTTGGTTCAATGATTAATAGATTTCACTACACTTGCATTTTGGCTATGACCTATTTTGCAGATAAATTATACATACTTAATTAGTTCATATGCTAAATATATCGATTTTTTTGGTTTTGTGGGTTGGTTCCTTTCTGCAGAAAGGCGTCCAATTAATTTCCTTCTTTAAAAATCGAAAGAGCGATATGAAATTGAATACCTATAGTTTGTTAAAAGAATGGTTGGACAAGCGCGGAGTAAATATTTTTCCAACAAAATTAAATAGGGCTAGACAAGGTACAAAAACTCTTGCTAATGTAAAATTGTTAAAAAAAAAGAGGGAGGAAAATTTTTTTCCTCCCGGGGAGGAAAAGTGGCATTTTCCTTCCTCGCTCAGGGGTGGAAAATTAAGTTTTCTAGTAAGGTAGTAGAAAAAATAATAATAATTAGGTACGAAATAATTATAATAAAATAGGTTCCATATCAAATTTCCCTAAACAGCGTATTTATTTACATATGGCAACATTGCTCTAAATATAAATTTTTATGTCAAAAAAAAAAACTGACAAAACAGCATTTTTTTTAAACCACTGAAAACCCCGAAATTTGTATTATTGATATTTACTACTTAAAACGTCCATTTTTAATTGAAAATTCAGGGTATATACTGGACCCAAAACTCTAATAAGTCGTAAGTTGACCTTTATAGAAAGTTTTAAAGATGTGATAAATGCAACGAAGATTTTTTATTCTAATCTAGTAAGAAATATATCGTAGAATGAATCATTTAGACTGTCTTGAAATCAAAATAAAATGTAAAGAAGAAAAAGCCACTTTCAAATAAACGTCGTGGGGAAGAAGACATAACCTTGAAATGTCAAACTAAATTTTAGTGAAAAATGACATGAAGTAAAATGATTTTCTATGGACATCCGCACTCATCAAAAACTCATTAAGCATGGTCAACTCAAGCAATCAGTTTATCCAGTCAAAGTGAAGTCAAAAAAAATCGAAAAAGTCGTAAGCTGCCCTTCCATATATGAAAGTTGCAAAGATGTTAGTCAAAAATTCATCAATGATTCTCTATTTTCAATATATTTCTCATCAACAAGTATACACAAGAATTTACAACCGTTTTGGGGAAAATCATTTGATCATTTCTTTTTAAGACCAAGGATATTAAAGCAAATGGTGCTGATGGGATTCTATCAAGCCAGCAAAGTCCAGGAGAAAGCCCTACCCTTACTACTATCCAACAACTACCAAACATGTTTGGTACAATCGCAATCTGGTACTGGGAAAACATTGGCGTACGTGGCAGCTATGCTAACAAAGATTGACCTTACCAAGAACTACTCGCAAATTCTTTGCATTGAACCTACTGGAGAGATGGTTCATCAAACCTACGAACTACTTAGAGCTCTATCTCTTGATTACCCCCAATTAAAAGTGTTCTGCATTGATAACGATGAGGCACATCAATTTCAAAGAAAAGTTAACCATCAAATAGTAATTGCAGAATGTGGTGCTAACCTACAACATTACATCGACTCAAGAGCATTTGATATATTTTATCTCGATATAATAGTTTTCGATGAAGCTGACCTAATCATTAACAAGCATAAGAAACAGGTTATTCTTTTGAATAAATGTGTTAAAAGGTCGTGTCAGTTTTTCTACTTCTCTGCAACCTACGATACGCAGAGTAAATTATTTATTAGAAATCTAGCTACAACTTATGCAGAAATCGGCTTAAAATCTGACGAATTGTTTTTGAGCCCTATAAGTCAATTCTACGTAAAGTGTACCAACGAAAATAAGTATTTGGCCCTAAAAACTATATATCAACAAGTCAGAAAAGGGGTTGTTTTTGTATTCACTTACTCAAGGCGAAAGGTTGTAGCTTTAGCTAAGCTATTAAATGATGATGGAATTAACAACTTTTTTATAAGGGATGACAACGATATAGATGACCGTATGTATGTCTACAATAGAATCTTATCATGCCAAAGAGGCATAATAATAACTACTGACCTTTGGGCACGGGGCATAGACTTAGACCCAAAAATGGTCATAAACTACGACCTACCGATGAAGGTATCAAAATCCTCTTTTACCATTGAAATGTATCTTCACAGAATTGGCAGGACTGGAAGATTTGGCAAAGGCGGAGTTGCCATTACTCTAGTACAGTGTTTCGCCGAAGAGTTGATACTAAAACGTGCTGAAATCGAGTATGATTTCTCTATTAGAAGATTGACCCTGGATTTTAATGATTTAAAAATTATAAGAAATTTGTGCTTGTAACAATACAAAAGTCTAGATCGATTTTAATGACTTATAAATTATAAGAAATTTTTGCTATAAAATTTTTAGATTTTGGCTATTTTGTTATTAAATATACCGTATTGTCACGATGAAAGTGCTTAGTGCATCCGAAGGCCTTAAAAAAAGGGGGATATTTTGCAAGGGAAACGACATACCACATTTTGGTTTTGCACAGCGTTGCTAACCCTAAAGAATTTTTTTAATCCTAGGAAATTTGTCTTAACCTTTTGGAATAAAATAATTTATGAAATAAATGCTTATACAACCCTATATATACCTATATATAAATTTTATTGTTGTATTTTATGATTTTATTTGTCTTAAATTATTTTATGTTTATATATCTAAATATAGCGTTCTGGGTTCACATATAGTTTTTTTCTTAATCGCAATTTGACGGCAAACATTTGGAAGTTTAGTGGGCAAATTCTATGGAGCCTTAATTTATAATTGGCTACATTGAGTAATTTTGCAGCACAAATTAATAATTTCATCAAAATGCTGTTTTGTTTTTAAAATTTGTTTTCGTTTAGAATTTTCTGTTAACTTTGGAATTATAATTTTTACAATTAATTAATGATAATTGTCAAATTAAAATTAAGGCATTGAACAGGAGTACCAACATAATCAAATGTGTCAAATTCCAAATAAAAAAAGTTTTATTTGAATGACATTATCAATATTACTTCTTCTTTAAATCATATATAAAAAATCCTAGGAAAGCCCTGTCATAACCCTAGAGATATTTAAAAAAAAGTTGGCAACGCTGGTTTTGCATTTTTAATATTTATTCACGTAAAACATAAACAAACGCGTTAATTGTCATTGTAGCCAAGCTAATAGAAAAAACTCCCAGTTAGTTTGAGCTACCGTACGTGAATTGATTTTATGTTGTACTTCTAAGCGAAATGATGCTCGAACGATGCACAGTGGCCACTGTGGGTGAAATTGCGAAAAAGTAAAAAAATACACCCTACAAAGTCAGCGCAAATGTTGATAAAAATGTCGACATCGATATCGTTCACTTTACGGCCCAGTTTTTTCTTTGTCAATCGACGTCGTTATGTCAGTTCGTGACCATTTGTCCCGGATTTTGCGGGACAGTCCCGGATTTTATCAACATGTCCCGCAAGAGTTAAAGTCCAGAAACGTCCCGGATTTTGCGGTTAATCACTATGTCTTTTTACGAAAAATCATAATTTCTTACATAAAATAATAAATCTGACAAAACTAGAATAGAGTTACAATTTCGTAAAACTTATAATTGTTCACAAAATAAAAAAATAGTTTCAGCCGCTCACGAGTTAAAAAATACTCGTGGAATCATTAAAATGTACCTACATAATATGTACAGTAGTATCAGAGGTCCACATTATATTTATTCCAGAAAATACCCGTTCGGTGGGAGCATTATTTTCTGGTAGGCACAAGCAAAATTCTACAATTCTTTTAATATTATGATATGATTTTGGACGCGAAAATATTAAAAAATATCAACCCATCTTTTGTCAATTGAAACTATTTTTATTCCTTTGATGTGATATCATAGGTATGCTTTTTGTAGTATTCTTCTTATGGAGAATTTTATAATTGTATAATTTTAATATATTTATATTTTATAATTCTGTAAAAAAAAATTGTTTGAAAACGAGTTATTTTCGAATCCCACCAGGGGTATTGCTGTTTATTTGTGTTTGTCCTATTGTGTATTAGTCCTTTGGAGGGGACTTTAAGCCCGCGGTCCGTTCCTACCCCTAACCCGCACAAGCCATTTAGTTGGCTTATGGGACTTCTTAAGAAGTAAGGGTGGAACTAAAAGAGCACTTTTGTAAACTTTTGTATATACCGTAAACAAGGGTGGCTTTAGCTCACTTTCAAACTTACACAGTAAATAAAGTAGTGAAGATATTTAACTCTAGTTAACTCTAAAACATTCTATATGCGACGACTTTTTTTAGTTATATATTCATACTGATGATAGTCTAATAATTTATATTTCTATCGTAAATATTATAAAGGTATTTAGTGTTAGATTTAATTTACTAGTGCATAAATTTAACACTACTGCGGGTACTCTGGGTGGAAAAAAAGTTTTGTTAATTTGAGTATTATTTTACGCTATTTTTATAACATTTAGACTCTTATTAATGAGTTCTTTTAGAGTAAACAAACTACTCTATTTTTAGTTAATATGCATACCTTTTTAACTCTGATTAGTAAACTTTACATTCAAATCGAGTAAAAATTACTCTATCCTTAGTTGCTATAAAGAGAGGAAAATTAAAAACATATTCAAATTCAAAAGTATATTTTGTGAAAAATAACTAAAATAAAAAATCATATAGCTAATGTTAACTCGAACAAATGTTTCTTTTAAATTAATGCATCCATTTTCAATGGGATTTGTATATAATTGTCTCGTTTCTGTTATTATCGGTTTTTAGACATAATGCCTAATCACATTTCAAGTTTTTACAATAAAATATCTTTAATATAAATAATAAGATATAATGTACCTATTTTATAGGAATTATGCAGCGGCACCCACGCACAAGCGAACCATTATACAGCCCTTGGAAACAGCACTAGTTTACAAATTTATAGACGCTTTGCAATCCCCACCACAAATAATAACCCTAATAGTGTAGATTTAAGTCTTTTTAGGGTAAAAATATACTCGCTTACTGTTAACTTTACTCTAATTCAAAACAATAATACACTAGCAAGAGGAAAACTAGGGAAATTTTAACGCAAATAGCGGTAAAATACTAATACTACTATAGTGTAAATGTTTTACCATTTACAAAGTCTAAATTAACACTAGTGCGATTGTATTAGACATTTGAGTAAAAAATATAATATTTTTAGAGTTACGTTATTATTACACTGTAAAATAATGTAATGTAGAGTAATATTAAGCTATAGATTTGAATAATTGGTGCATTTTACACTGAATATCAACTCTAAAATATTTACCAACTATACTAGCTACTTTACTAGATCCATATTTTTAACTGTGTAAGCTTAAAATTTTTGTGGTTTTAACAATCATAAACATTAAATTTTGTATACCAAAATTTGAATCTTGAGTTGCTCTTTCATAATAACTATGTTATAATGTTACATAGGGCTGAGTTAAAATAAAAATTAAAAACTGGGTGTGTAAAGTTACCCCCTGGTTGCGGGTAACTTTGTCTCACAGTGTATTTTCCGTATTAAATTAACTCAATATTTTATTTTATTTTTATTAGACACGTGTTAGCAGCGACATATATCTATTGCAAGGGATTACCGATAAAAAAATTTCAATAAAATATTTGTGGAATTTATTTAGTTTTTACTGATTTTTATTACCATGGTGAAAACCCCATGCTCAATTTTCGAATTTTAACTTAATATGATCAGAGGATATTAGACAAAGATAACATCTAATAACAATGTTTGATTCTTCAATACTACTCATAGAAACAGTTGATCCACTGATATACCGCATGAGGTTTTCACAAAGTAACTATTAGTTTTAAGTTAAAATAAACACATAAACTTGGAACTACAGTTTATACTTCAGAGTTCATAATTTACTTTATTTATTGCCCCTATTCTTAACGTATTATAATAACTGGGTAACTGGGTAATACCTGTAAATCCCAGATAGATATCTACCATAAGTTTTATTGATTTCAATGTTAGGTGTAATATTTAAATTTCATTTGTTTTTTTTTTAAATAAGCAATTTAAACCCTTTTTTCAGTATTTAACAAAATATTATTTTTTCTCAAAACTTCCGCTTTTTATAATTATCTGGGGAAAACCGTTTTTTTTATAGCCTTAAATTACAAGAAAGATTTAAATTGCTTGGATTTTTGCCAAAAGCTAATTGTGTTTTAGGACCAACTTTTTAATCTTCTGATTTAAAAACAGCTTTAAGTACTCTTATTGCTCAGTACATTGCAATTAATTTAAGCAAATAATTTGGAAGATGCATTTGGAAATATATGTATTGCGTTGCGCATATTTCCCGACTAGAAGAGAAGTTTTATTATTATTATTTTTATTATTATTAATATTATTATTTTTATTTTATTTATTTTTGGTGCATCAACTAGTAAGGTCATTGTCACCAGCTTCCAAAGAGGAAAATCATCATAGACACTCATAGAAACTCATAGTAGTGCCGGACTCCTACCTCTCAGGACATAACAAAGGGTAAGTTAAAATAAAAAATATGTAAATGGAGACAATTCAAACATAACCATGTATAAATGTATAAATATAAAATAAAATATCTTGAAATATTACAAATGTATAGGGATGATCAGATTCTCTGAAGGTAATTTGTATCATTCAAGTAGGTGAGGACTTTTGATATAATTTTGGGGTCGTAATTTAGTAACGCATTTAATTGCAGATTAAACAAATATTTATTTATTCGTCTACATTAATGTTGTCGCCTTCAAAATAGTCCCCATTGGATATTATGCACATGTGCCAGCTCTTCTTCCAATACTCGAAACACTTCTAAAACTCGATCTTTGGGATAGCCTTAAGTTCTTTCAGCGATGCGCTTTTAATGTCATCTATGCTTGCAAAACGACGGCCTTTTAAGGTTCTCTTTATGTTTGGGAATAGTAAAAAGTCAGACAGAGGCATGTCTGGCGAATATGGAGGCTGGGGCATCATTACAGTATTGTTTTTGGCCAAAAATTTTGTTCAAAATTTAACAATTTTGGAACAAATTTTACTGCCACGCGTTTCTTACCCAAAATATTCGAAAAATTTCATGGGATGAGCCAATCGATATACCAACATCATCAGCGACTTCTCTGATAGTTTATAACCATTTCTTCCACTTTTTTCATGTTTTTATTGGTTGTTAATGTGCTTGTGCGTTCGGGGCGTTCGTCATCTTCAACGTCTTCACGGCCATCTTGGAAACTTTTATACCACTTGTATACTCTTGTTTTACTTATAGCAGACTCACTA